TCTCTCTCTCTCTCTCTCTCCCTCTCTCTCTCTCTATCTATCTATCTATCTATCTATCTATCTATCTATCTATCTATCTATCTATCTATCTATCTATCTATCTATCTATCTATCTATCTATCTATCTATCTATCTATCTATCTATCTATCTATCTATCTATCTATCTATCTATCTATCTATCTATCTATCTGTCTATTTATCTATCTATCTATCTGTCTATCTATCTATCTATTTCTAGCTCTGTGTGTTCTTTGGATTTTGCTGAGAGTTTAGATTTATAGATTTAAAGCAGATGTAATCAAAATAGGCTGATTTTCATTTTCTCAAACCCAGCATATGAGTACCGAAAATAGTGACTTTAAAAAATTCTCAATGACATTTAAAACATAATCATTCTGATATAGTAACAATAATATCCATGATACTTAATTGCGAACAGTTCCAATAATATTAATTGAATAGAAAGCTCATAAATCATATAAATTTCATTGCATTAATTAATATTAATGATATCAGCGTAAATTAATGATATTAGTAACGTAAATTATTCAATTTTGAGCTAATAAACGATTGAGATCAAGCATATATTATTATAAACTGTAAAATGTAAATTTTGTAATTCAATTTTTGAAAATAAATAAGAAATAAATTCACAATATACTAATTTTAATATACAAACAGTTGACAAAGAAAACAGCTAACAAGACTCACCCAGCACCATCTATTCAGCCAAAATACTTTAAACGGTGCGAACATCCGACGTTCCCTTTTGAGATGTAAAAGCGGTCCTGATTTTGACGATCTATCTTTCGCTTGCAGAGCTGAAAATCCTGCATATAAAAGTACAACATTATCCATATCCTTGTATCTCTCAAGTTTCCCATCCATCTTTTCTTTGCTGCCGTCTCCCCGAAAATCTTGAAAAGTCTCGTAGTAATGCTGAAGTGACCCTCTCTACAAAATATACACATCCATAAACAACATATATATTATTCTTACCATATGAATTTAAAAATACATTGATTAATCATTATATTATATAACATTTAAAAAAAAATTGTATTAATTTTAAAATTATTTATAATTATAATGTGCTTTATGAATATTTTAATATCCAATATTAGTTAATACATGTTGAATGACAAACGTGCATTTAGTAAATAATATTCTCGTGAAATATTTACTTATATATGGCATCACATGATTATAATTATATAATAGAAATTACAATCATAATCGTAACTTTATAATAATTACTCATAATAACTCATATATTTTACAATTATTCTCATAAATAAATTTTCAAGTAGACTAGTTTTGATTATATAAGTTTTATAACATCGTATTTCATTAGTTAATTACATATTGAATTATTAAAGCCAAAAAATGATATTCTAATAAATATATTCTAAGATATAAAATAGAGCATAATTTAAGTGCAATCAGTAAATTGTTTCTTAATTTCATATTATCAAGATCCAAAATAATTACTTTTATATCTCTTTATATTTTGCTAACAGTCCATTTTGATAAAGATAAATCACACGTATAAAAAATTGCATTTCAATTAAATATTAGATATAGTTTTCTTTTTTAAAAAGGTAGAGAAAATGAATACTAATACGAAATAAAATTGTATATTTTAACTAATTAAAGAAATGCTCAATAATTACATAAATACAAATACAAATAAATATTCAAGTACAAATTTTTAATCTGTAAGACTGTATAATAAAAAGCCTTCCACATTACTTTAATATAATTTTAAATAAAAAATAAAAAAAAACATTGAATGCAAAGTGCGCAAAAGTATTTAATTAATATAATAGGGGCAATATTTTTTTTTTTTTTTTTTTTTTTTTATAAGAATTTAAGAATTTTATTTATATCAAGCAAAATTTTAACAATGCGCAACATGTTATTATAAATTATTCGCCAACTAAACCGATAGAATAAGGAAACGCCATTTAACATGACAAATACGTGATGTTTCAGAACAGGAGAGCTAGCAGTTAACAAAACAAGGCAAATAGTTATAATAATCATTACGAGTAAAGCGTTGACATTGACCTTGGGCTGCTGCTCATCGGCGCCGACATACTCTGGCGGCTGCTCGGCCTCCTCGCCAGTTAGCAATAGTAAACTCTTGCCGGCATTCATGTCCAGATAGGGTTCCGGCGAATTCGAAACCTGAAGCGGCGATTGCTGGAGGATGGCGCGTGACCGCGATAGTAGCGTCTCTCGCGCGATCTGTGCAACCTCCGAGAGCTCAACATCGCCCAGACATTCTAGGAAGTCGACGAGATCTGTGCGAACGAGTCATGAATTTGCGATTTAATCGAGGACTCTCTCGCTAATCTCTTATTTTGCAATGCACGAAACGCTCGGGTGCTTTATTTATCGTCGACTGGAATTTACTTTTAGCCCTATGGACTAATGCCCCATTATATGCTCGACCATCATCATCCTTATGTATTTTATTGTATTATACAAAATATTATTGTAGGATCATCCATTAATTCAGTCTATTAAATTATATCTTTTAAATTTCTTAACAAAAGCACGCTATATTTATTCGAAAATTAATTATCATATATTGAAATAGTATAAAACTCAACTATATTATTTATTAAAAACTGGACTACTTCTATATATATATATATATATATATATAAGAAAAAACATATTATTTCTCTTCTGTTTATTTAATTTCAAAATACATATGATTTAGTATAATTTATCGCCCCATTTATTTGAAACTGAATTTGCAATAGCTCGTATGAGATACATTAAATGTGCCAACAAAGTTTCATGCAAGTAGTGCATAATATTTAGCTCAATTTCTCCTTCGCTTTCGAATCCTACATCAACTTTTTTCAATATATCCATTATTTTTAAAAACTAAACACATTCAAGATTAGTTAACTTTCCACAATTTATTTTTTATCAAAAAACTGTTTCACTCTAATAATATTGCAATGCACTATTAATTCTCAAATCTTTTCTTTTCTTTTTTTTTTTTTTTTTTTGTAATTAATTAATATCTGAAATGATATTCTTTATTAAAAATTAGTAAATCATCGTTGTAATAATATTTTGCATGAAATATCTGTTTATCATAAAATTTTTATTTATATTTTTAAAATATTTAAAAAAATTAATAAATAAAATTTAGTTATTGAAAAAGGTGGTATTGATTAAAATATCATGTGCATTTTAAGATTACATCAAATGTTATTCTGTATATAATTTAATACAATTCTTTTACAAATTCAAAAAATTACATTTTCTAATACAGTTTAATGTGCTTTTATTTAAATATTATTTTAAATACAAGATACTGTCACTCTTTATTTTGTGTTAAAAATGTGTGACTGTAATTTACAAATATTATTAAAGACAAGAGAATATTATTTAGTTTTTTAAAATAATATAATTTATTCAATTGAGACTAATTACTTCTCATATATATATATATATATATAATAAACAAAAATTTCATTGTACATATATTTAAAAAAAAATTTTTTTTTCTATAAATAGTTGCATATCTGCAAATAATATATATATATATATATATATATAATATTATTTTAAATACAATCATTAATTAAATTGAAAAATCTCTGCCTCATTTTTTTGATAATTCTTTAAATATCAATCTTATTGATTATATTACTATCAATAAATATAGCAATGATATTACTTGAATTGGAAAAATTAAAATATATTTTAAAAAGTAAGTTTGGAGAATAACTATTTAGTTTTAGATATTATATTTTCATTTAACTGCTACTTCTTTTATTATATGTAAATGAATTCTAAAATAAATGACTTTACATGCATTATAATTATAATGGTTGAATATTAAACGCATAATATTATACAAATAATTCTTATATCGCATCTTTGGTGAGCACAAAATAATAAAAGTAGTAGGGCAATAACATTAATATAGAACATGGCATAATATAACATATTAATAAAATAATCAGATTGAAATATAAAAAATTTTATTAACCAGAGAGCGTATAATGTACTCGTAATATCATATTTGTTGCGATTTGCTATAATCAGATGAATATTTAAAAATATAAAAGCCTTACGTAATTAAGTGTCTTTTTGTAGCAATGTTTATACTACATGTCAAGAAGAATGCGTGAAAAGCACTGTCACAACAACTAAGAGTACACAGGCGCATAAATGAGAATAAAAAAATAACAGAGCGTGAGGAGGGGGAGGGGGGGTTGAGAGGGAGGGAGAGAGAGAGAGAGAGAGAGAGAGAGAGAGAGAGAGCATTGAAAAAAGTATCATAACGAGGGCTCGACTCACCGCGGAGGATAACAGCCACGTCTCCGTCGAGTTCCTGCATGGTTCACTGTGTTTATTGTTGCGAAAATACCGCGAGTGCAAGATGCATTACATTAGATGCGGCATCCATGGCTCCTCTTAATGTTGACTTGAGAAGTTGTGCAAATATAATTAAGCACTTGTCAGTGTTTTTGCTATGATAAACATCGAATGCGTAGATTCAGTTGTTTGTTTTTCTAATTTATTATTAACTTTTTTCAACTTCAATTAAAACACAATATAGAGCTCACGGTAGATTCATTATCAATGAAAGTCAACTGATAATAACTTACGGTGATTTTATTTTATTTTAATTTGAGATTCTTGATATCGCATATAGCTGCCGATGATGCTAATAAACCAAGAGGATGTTTATTTGATAATGATAAATGTATCATCGTCACTTCCAGTTGAAACCAAGCCATGAATTGCGCATTGTTTCTCTTTTCATCCTCCTCTGAAATATAAAAACAGACAAATTAATAACAATACGAAAGACGACTCGTTATGTCGAGGAAACGATTCTTGTTTTTCTTTTTTTCGTAAAAGTATTGTATAGCGTATGTGATATTCAAATGCAATACATGCAATACGGCGAGTAAGGATAGAGATCCTTCTTCATTAAATGTGTATGAAAAAAGTTAAGGGATATACATGAAACAAGGAGGAAATAAGGGGCATTTATTTCGGACTCTGCAACTACACTGCAAAGTAACGAACGAAGCGAACGCTTAGTCTCGCATCTTCGTTGCTTTCTATTATATTCTTAGCATCTTCGTAGTGGAACGATAGCACGATTAACAATAAAACAGCTAAAGATTTGACGCTATGCGCAACTCAAATTAACAGGCAACATGGAGACTCGCATTAAACGCTGATGGACTCAAACGACATGCATTTGTCTCCAAGCCACCGCCTTCGTTTACAAGTATTCTATCTTCTCATAAGTCTCGAGTAAGTGCCCGCAATATATGTAGCGTATTCGATTCCCCTCCTCTAATGCTCACTCTCTCTCTCTCTCTCTCTCTCTCTCTCTCTCTCTCCCTCTCCCTCTCCCTCTCCCTCTCCCTCTCCCTCTCCCTCTCCCTCTCCCTCTCCCTCTCCCTCTCCCTCTCCCTCTCCCTCTCCCTCTCCCTCTCCCTCTCCCTCTCCCTCTCCCTCTCCCTCTCCCTCTCCCTCTCCCTCTCCCTCTCCCTCTCCCTCTCCCTCTCCCTCTCCCTCTCCCTCTCCCTCTCCCTCTCCCTCTCCCTCTCCCTCTCCCTCTCCCTCTCCCTCTCCCTCTCCCTCTCCCTCTCCCTCTCCCTCTCCCTCTCCCTCTCCCTCTCCCTCTCCCTCTCCCTCTCCCTCTCCCTCTCCCTCTCCCTCTCCCTCTCCCTCTCCCTCTCCCTCTCCCTCTCCCTCTCCCTCTCCCTCTCCCTCTCCCTCTCCCTCTCCCTCTCCCTCTCCCTCTCCCTCTCCCTCTCCCTCTCCCTCTCCCTCTCCCTCTCCCTCTCCCTCTCCCTCTCCCTCTCCCTCTCCCTCTCCCTCTCTCTATATATCTATCTATCTATCTATCTATCTATCTATCTATCTATCTATCTCTCTCGCGCTCTCTCTCTCGCTCTCTCTCTCTCTCGCTCTCTCTCTCTCTCTCTCTCTCGCTCTTTCATCCTATGAACCGTCGTAGCTACAGCAATATATGAAGCCCAACGGCGCGCGATATTTTTCAAAGTATTCAAATAAATAATCATGATTGACAAGATTAGGCCCGATTTTAATTTACCAATTTTAACACGCATTAAATTAAATTAAATTAAAAAAAAAAATTATACCGACGTCTTTATCGTTACGGCAAACTTTCAAAGTAATCTTTAAAGAAAAAATAAAAGGAAACGTATACTTGCAGGAGAGTAGAAACTTCTTTATTATAATCCAACTTTCGGTTGCGTGATTAATATTTTAGCATGAAACCGATCGAGGGTAATAAATAGAAAAAGTTTTCATAAATAAAAAGAACACTTTGGTATTAATTTTAGGCAGTGTTAACCGTAGATTCTTGACTTTATTTTTGTTTTGAATTCATTGTTTTTCAAAGTCAAAATGACTTATATCATATAATTAGTCACTGTTAATACGCTAAGATAATCGTTAGTTAATCACTTTAAATAATAAATTTTTTTTGTTTTGTTTTTATAAAATATTTAATGTAACGTGTATTTAAATGACAAAACTTTTTAAACATTTCACACTATACGTATATACTTTTTGAAATTTAAGTAAATTTATATCTAGCCATTTAAAATACGCTTAATATTATCCGCGCTTAATAAACAATACTAAAAACAGCCTTGTCCATTATGCAAGAGAGAGAGAGAGAGAGAGAGAGAGAGAGAGAGAGAGTGTGTGTGTGTGTGTGTGTGTGTGTGTGAATGCACAACAATTAATGGAGCCGCTAATCGTAATGAATTAATTACATTGAATTAAGACTATAATAAATTCTAGTAGAAATGGCAAAAATGGCACTCACGTTTAACAAAAACAAAAAAAATATCCCTCTTTGATTAATAATGATCCATAATAAGTCGAGGAGAAGCACTCGTTGTTCAACTCATTACCAGAGAGACAAACACTTATCATCGCACATCATTCATTGTGCGCGGTCGTTACCTACTTATCCCCTGCGTCACTTTTCAACTCGCGTATCCTCCCGCGAATAGTTTACCTTACAGGATTGAAAAAGTCAAACCTCCGGCTGGGAGTCTCGGGAGTTCGTACAATGTCAGTCCACGGGCAACAAATACAACGAAAATTTGCGGATATAATTATCTAATTAACCTCAAAAAGGTGACACAAAACGTTAGAAACGCGGCTCATTATGTAAGCCGGTCAAGGTTAAACAAACGTGCGCGCAAACAAATACGGGCCGTTTGGCCAGCACTTGAAAGAAATTGGAAAAGTTCGCGCACCATGCCCAAGCTCGCTGGGAGACAACGGCAAAATCACCTTCGGCCCAAGCACTTACTTCGAAAAGACCAGCTGCTCTGGGGTCGCGGGAGGAAGGAGCGGGACCGCGACCAGACGCTGCACGTGCGGCTGAGCCCAGCCGACTCCCGCCGAGAGTCGGAGAGCAAGACTCTCGGCGGAGGCGTCCCGAGGAACCCCCCCCCCCC